GAGACAAAGTTGCGCGCAATATCGATCGGTTCGAGCGGTGTTGAGTTTCAAAACGAGGTTCAACTGACGCGTACCCCCCCTCCCCCTCCCCCGTTTCATCGCCTCGCGATGAAGTGTATCGCGTGACGTTCTTCATAAAGCTTTCCATTCTCGGCGCATATTTATCATTCACTGTCGTCGGCGAGTTTATCACCGTCTCATTAAAATTTGTTTCGCGCGATCAATCGTACCGCTATGCAATATTGACGTGAGGCCGTTCGAGGAAAACTCGTGTCATCGATCGTAGGCTCGAAGGTTTCGAAACGAGATTCGATCGGGGTCAGAGTTCAAAAAGAAGTTGCACGATTGTCGTAACGAACGCGCGTCTCTCTCCACTCCCCCCTCTCCCCGATTCCTCGCGAGGAGATATAATCGACTTAAATTGCATTTATAATCGTCGTTTGTTCGTTCCGCGTGCTTGTGAGAAATTTATAATTAAGATTTCTATACGCTATTGTGAAGCGCATCTCCCTTGAATAAGCTCGAATAAGTCGCATATTTTCGTTGAACGTCGAATAAGAGCCCCCCCCCTCCCGGGAGTCCCCCTCGTATTTAACGTGTATCGCGTGTCCGTAAAATCGATAATTTCGGTGCACCGCCGGAAGTTTCGACAAAGCGATCTGAATTCATGAGCGCGACGCTTATTCACGGTCGTCGATTCGTTTACTCGGCGCGATTTAATCGAGTATCTCTGGTCAGCGAAAATTGTCACAATCGAATCTGCGCGCGAGGCAGATATTTAGCGAGATATTCGAGAAAAAAAGAGCAGATCGTACGGTTAATTCCCTGTCGACTGACATTTACTTTCGCTATTTCAACCCAGGTGCAGTCGCGATTTACTGGAATGTCGAGCTACATATCACCTTATTTCCAGTAGGAGCAATTAGCCTCTAGAGTTACATGCTAAACGTCGCCGAGGAGAAACGTTTGGACTGGCACACGTGTCGCCAGCGTACTCGTTTCCGGCGTGCGCCGGAAGAGGAGGAGGCACCGGTGCGTTGTGCGCGCGCACGTGTGTGTATGTTAAGTTCAGTAGGGTGTACATAAGTAACCCCGAAGAGCCCTCTTCTGTCCGGATCCCAGCCGGGTCTGGGTCAGTCGCTCACGATCGTGTAAGAGGCTCGAGAACGTGTTTGCACTTCCGGCGCGCAACTCGACGAATTACCCTACGTCGACCTTGAAGAGCCCAGCCCCCGCTTCTCGCCCCCTCCTCTTTTACCTCGCGTTCTTTCTTTTTTGACGCCTCGTACCGTGATACCGTGCACTCTTCCGAAGTTAATCCCAACTTTCGAGCGAGTTTTAACGAAGCGCGGCCAAGTTTGCGCGCCGAAGGTCTCCCTCGGCCTCGCAATTTTACGACCTTGAAGAATTGTTCGCGCCTGCCGACATCTGTCTTCGCGGTGAAATGTTGTTCCATGACGTGGATATTGAGCAAACGCTATTGGGAAATATATATTCGTACGCGCGCGCGTTTACAGTTGGAGAATAATTTCTTTGCCCGTAGTGAATGTGGATCTGGCGTTTCGCAGCCTTGAAGAAAACTTTGCAGCGACGGTTTTTATCGGCGCATTTCCCGTCCTTTTTATGTATGCGTGCGTATGTATAAGAGAGACGCGAGTTTGAATTTATTCCTCGCTTAAACTTCGGAATATCCCCGGATAAATGCGAGCTTTGTATTATTTAAGCGCGCTGAATGCCCCGTTTGTGCGCTTAAGCGACTCTGCGCGGCTACCTTGTGCAATTTTCTGAGATAAAGTTGCTTCCACGGCAGTTCAGTGCATTGTGATAACGGAGTGTAATCCTCGTGATTCCGATAACAGGGAGAAAGTAGCTTTAAAAAAACACAATTTAGCGCGTGTCATAACTTCTCGACGGAAGCGCGATTGCGCGAATCTTAATTCAATCGCGTCAAATTTTAATTGAATTCTAGATCTCGGTGAACTTGATTAAACACTTTGATGAATCGACAGATTATCTTCACGAGTGCATAAACTCGGATATAATCGGAGAGTCTGAAGGGCAAATATTTCACATCGGATTTGTGTGTGCGTGCGTGAGTGGTTCGCGCTCGGAAACCGATCCAGAAGAGTCGCATCTGATGCAGCATCGCGAGTGTTGGTCGACGATCGGGGGTCTTACTTGCGTTGCAAGTGCGAGTAACATGAAACAGAGGCAACGACAGCGACAGCAGCGTGGGCGATAAGTCATGTTCAGCAGATTCGAGCTGCTTCAAGGCGCTGTCAACTATCTGCTGTTATCAGGTGCGCTGTTAAGCCGGTTCGCTCTCACTTTAGACTCGATCGATCGATCTTATGCTCTAGTAATTTACATAGTCAACGCGCGGAGAGATAAATCAACGGTGAGAAATAAATTTACGGTGCGTTGTTACCCGCAAATTGTCGTTTGGCAAATTTCGAATCTCGATGATTTTATCCATGTCAATTAACGACAATCGCCGCAATTTTAGTTCTTTCTCCGTCGTTTTTCTGTCTGGACCGGTTACCGCGAGAGAGTCGGTCGACAAATTTATAGATCGCGTCGCGTTTACATTGAATAAATTTAGCACGCGAATTATTTACGTGCCATTTCGTGCTGCTGAAAGTTGCGAAACGACTCTCGTCACGCATTTCCAGATGATATCGTTGATTTATATCATTAATTCAATCTTTTGTCTAAATAAAAGAATTAAAGAAATTAAGGTAACAAGAAATTTTATAGATCCAACCAGAAAATACTAATCAAATCCTTATAGTAAAATCTATTCAACGTTCTAGTTATAAAAAATCGAGTCTTACCGTGATAACTAGAAATTCTCGTTTGATTTAAGCAAATGCCTTCAATCATATACGTCTTGTTGATACAATCAAACGATTTTTCTCAGCAATTATTTATCTATCGGGAATTATTTTACGCAATTTAACGCACTGTGATTTTTTAAGTCGATAAACTTGTGCGCGAAAATTATAGAGATATTTAAATTTTCCCGTTGAAAAGTTTAAGTGGTGTCAACTTGACTGATTATTGACATGTAGTCGTTAACACAAGATACGACCTCGTGATACTTTAGCGCTAATTATTTTATTTTCCGACATCGAGAGCCACGGTTGTTGTGTGTTGTGCCACTGATTGATTGCAGTCATCTGTACCGAGTCGGCCGTTAAATTGCGACGTGGCGAATATTGATAATTAGGCGGTCGAGATTGCCGGATAATTTCGTACCTATTGTTGAAACAGCGGCCATGACGGCCGATGAATAATAAGTGCTTCGACATGCGATTACATAATCATTTATTGACATTATAATCGCCAAGAGTCTTTATTCTAATACGTTCATGTAAATTATTCAGCATAAATACGAATGAGAAGTAACAATATGCAAACATCTCTTGATAAAAAGAATATATGAAAATATAATATATATATTATGGGAGGCAAGATATACAAATTATATATATATATATATATATATATATATATATATATATATACAGGATGTCCCAAAACACATAATCAATCTTTCAAAGACAGATTCCTGGGACCAACGAAAATGTCGAGGCACTAATAATTTTCGAATTATAAGTGTTTGGAAATAAGGGATTTTTCGTAAACTAAGCTTTGTAGAAATAAAATATTAACAAAACCACATTCTTTGATTAATTTTAAATAGAGTTTACTTTAGTTGAGTTTTAATTTAAGGCTTAATTGCAAAGATATAGGATGACAAAAATTGGGAACATGCAAAAAATGATGGCCTTCATCGATATTTTCGCTGAGGAAAAATCGTCTCCAAATGATCCCAGGAATCTGTCTTTGAAAGATTGATTATGAGTTTTGGGACCCTGTGTGTATATATATATATATATATATATATATATATATATATATATATATAATGTAAAAATAATATATATATGTTATACATTTATGACATACTTTATACAAGAATGTGAAGAGAGAATTACGTGCAATTTCTAATGTTTGATGCCGATATAAATTCTAGAGCGGGTAAAAGATTTAGCAACAAACTTTCTGCTCTTGCTGGATTTCATTTCCGGCAGTGTCACGGCAACGTAATTTCTCGCGTAGCTTCGTAATAAACGTTGAAACACACACGCGCTTCCGCATTAGACGCGAACAGGATAAAATACGGCGAGCGAGAACGGCCGTCTGGGCCGTGTGTTCAGCCCTCTGTTTCGAATTTGGCCCTCGCTATCGTGCCGTAAACTCGCCCGAGCACCCCGAGTCCCTTTTCCCATGACGTGCGTGCATGCGTGCGTTGCGTGTACGCTATTGTTTACGCAATGCCGGTCGCGGCTTGCGTCCCGTGTGCGGCTTTCTTCCACCTCTTCCTTTCATCGTTACTTCCTCTGTTTCCCCCCCTCCTGTCGTCGCAAGCAGGTCATCGAATTTCTAAAGGCAATCTCGCGCACGGCAGACGGTCCCGTCAGAAGGACGACGTATCGATGCCGGTTGCGTGGAACGCAACAAACCGCTTCTTCGTAACTGCCTGAATTTCCTTTTGAATGTCGTTAACCGTTAGCTTCTTTTCACGCCATTGAATCGCGAAATTTCAGGTCACGATTATTAAAAATCCCATCATCATATGTTTATATTGATTCTATGATTATTTCACGTCAAGAAGATAAATATGTCCTACGATTATTTTGATTATTTTTCTCGAAAGACAGGGAGAGAGAGAATTTAATATTTAATTATTTAAATCAATGGACAGATGACTGGCCAGCATTATTATTCTTCTTTATAAACATATGTAAATAAAAGAGAAAACTTTTTCGTGAATCGATACGAGTGTTTATATAGGAGATGAGATTATTTTTTCGTAGAACTAGTTTACTGAATATTGATTTTAGCGTAAGAGGATGTGCCGTTCTCAGATCTCGATAATCAAACAATAATTAGTCTCTGCTAATTTTGCTAATAGCCGCTCTTTTCTGTTACAGAACGAGAGAGACATGCTGCCAGCAGATTATCTGCGTAAGTATACCAGCAAAACTAAAAACTATAGCAAAGGCTAAAAACTTTATTTCAAAAGTCTTACTTTCGTTTACTTTCACTTAAAACTCTTACAAATAATTTTACCCATTTTATTTCGTGAAAGAAAATATTTTTAGTTCGAAACAATATGTTTATTTCATAACAAAAATACAGGTACAATAAATCGAAACGAATGATCGAGCACTTTTTCTCATTCGTTGAATAATACATTTTTTAAATGCAATTTGCAACATTTGAATCACTTTTAATACCTAATCGGGCAAAATAAATCACGCATATATTCAATAAAGCAGCAAAAGAACTAGCAGACGTGTCGGCAAATATACCGGTTACATAAACCACAAAGTTTACTCCAGATTTTCACAGAGGCTTTTAATTAAACCGCTCGGTGCGCTGCAATTTTTCGGCCTGTTAATTATTTTACCGAATATTTTGTTTTTTTTTGTTCACTGCACACAAACGCATAATCACGTCGCATAGTCTCTGATTGTTTGCTCTTAAACAAGCGATTTTTTAATTCACGCAAAAAGTACATACTACGAGAATTCCCATTTGACAAGTCAAATTATCAAAGTGAAAGTGAACGACCGATGTTTTCTGCATTACCGTTATATACCTGTAACAAAAAAAAAAGTATTAAAGGTATACACGCGACGGAGAGGAGATCCGGACAACACGTGAACGCTGCTAATAAAGATATTTCCAAGTTTCTCACGTGTGGTGGGTTCCTTGCCTCCGTGTGACGGCGGTTTGGAAAACTTTCTTTCTTCTTCGGCGTAGACGAAACACTCTGTACATTTTTATGACGACCTTACCGTACCTCTTTACCTCATCGTCACCTTTCCGTCGGCATTTTCTGAAAATTTCTCGTGCAAACTTGGAAACTCTCCGCGAGGAAATTTCTCACATTTCCGATAATATATTTGATTTATATACCTATCTCGATTCGGTAAATTTGTTTGATGAATAATTCAATAAGTAATGAATAAATTGCAGTAACGTTAATTAACGTAACAATTAATAAGAGAGAGATTTATATTTTCCGCAAAAATACAATTATATAAAAAAAGATTGATTTTTTACATTAATTGTAAAAAAAATCTTTATCTCTTCAATATAATGTCGATTATGAAGCATCGAGTTTGATCAAATAAAATGAACAAATGCCACAACAAAAGCATACCGCATGAAATTGCCATGCACAGTAATTTCGAAAAATTTAATTCGCATTTCCCGGAGGATTTTCGGGAAACAAGAATTGGACAGTCGGTGTATTCGTGTAATACGATGATTCCCTGAAACCGGAGTGGTTTACATCGTAACGATTAATCAGAGAAAGAGAAAAAAAAATTAACGAGCCGACGAAAAGGGTAGGCAAAAGTGTTTCCTATCCTCGCTTCCCCTTTTCTCCAACTTTAGGGCTTCGACCCTCCTTGAACAATCTTTTCCCCTAATAACAGCCGCTCCACATGCTCTCTCTCGCTTATGATGGAAAAGTGGGTCGCGACCGAATGCTTTTTTCCTCGTGTTTCATGCTTCTTCCGAACCGGAGTTTCGGGTCGATCTTTTATTTGTACGTGCTGTGTGGCTTCAAAAAGGGTGCATAATCAGCGTTTTAAGCGAAAATTTAATCGCCCGCCTGCCGCGTCGTTTAACACGGAGAATTAAAAGGGCTAATTAAACCGTTAATACCACGTTGTTTTTGACAGCGCGCATCAGAAAACCAGTTGCTAACAAATTAATTTTTTTTTAATGAATTAATCATCATATTACTCCAAAGACTACGATTCCTTTATACTTGAAGTATCTCGATTTCCTCGTTGGTTTTGCAGAACATGATTGATGTGAGCGATTAAACTTCTCACTTCTCGGCTCATAAAAATCAGAATGGACTGTAAATATTTTTTCTCCTTTCTCCTCTTCGGCGAAAAATGTTGTTTCTATTTGTGTTGATTCCATTTGCTAAAATTTTGCAATATAACGAGAAGTTCGTGCGTTATCAGACGAGCGGCTCGCGTCCTTGTCGATCCGATAAGCGACCCGTCACACACGAGCTGATAACGAGTTTTAGTTCTTCGCGATCGCTCGATTTATTTCGCAATAAAGTGTGTAAATATTCTCTCCTTGTCTCTTTGACGAGTAACGATTTATTAAGTGTGTAACTTTTAATTGTCAGTTTGGGATTCGACTCGGGTTGACATTTCATCTCGATATTTATTATCATTTATTATTTTTTCAACTCATGTAAAATGAAAATCGAATTTTTCTCTAGAAGTAAAAATTCCTTTTATTCTAAAATTATTGCATCTAGATCGATACAATTTTACGATCGTTAATTAATAATTATTCCTCCTCTTACGCGCTTACGTTTCGTCCGCCGATTACGCGTGAAATTTACGACTGCATCCGATCGTTCGATTACTTCGTACCTTGTCGAGCGTCTTCTGGCATTCGGGCATACATTGTACATTGCGAATCGCGATAACGGGTTTATCGGGATACCTATCTGCGGCATGTGCGCGAGTTGCAGTCGTAAGTACTGTCGTCGACGTAGAGAGCCGGCCGTGTGCGTCAGAGATTTCTCACTACGAGCTTTTCGCCATTAGTAGCGCGAATGTTTTCATTGAGAAATTTACTTAGTTTCTTAGACGTGATGCTGTGCTAGCGAGATCTAAAATCATAATAAATATCGATGTGAAACGAGATTGACGGATTAAATATACACGTATGAGAACGATATAATTATTGATTTCAATTATAACTCTGCATCTAAATATGCAAAATTGAGAGTCGAAATTCATCGAATAAAAAATGGAATATTTTGAGAATTTCGACTCTCAAGTTATAAATCAAGAAAACTCGTGAGCATTGAATGAATCGAGTTAAAAATGGCAAGTTAGACAACCGTGAATTGAGAGATTAAAAGTTACACAAACTTTTGAAAAATCTGTTCTATTTTTAGTGAAAAGATAAAACAAATTCGCGCAATATATGGCGAAGTAAAACGAGCGTTGGCGAGGAAGGAAAACTAGTTATCAGCGAGTTAAAAGCGCGTTATCAAATTATACGCTTACGTTCAACATGACTAGAATTTCTAATTAGTCCGATTAAGATTTACTTTAATAAATACTAGAAACATAATTAGCCTTTTTGCAGCTAGATATCGTTCTATCAATTATATTTCCTGCCATCCAAATCAAAGTCCTTAGATTCCATTTCAACGATAATTTATTAATTAATTTTATAATAATAACACGTGTCATTCTAAATCTCTCTCGCAATCTTCTGCATCAATAATGTTTACAACGTGGCAAGAGGATTTCGAATGGCGAATAGCACCGCAGGGTTCGTCGATCATTCTTCGCACCTCGATCGCATCTCGCCGCGACGTGTGAATGATAAAGAGACATATAATCAGCGAGGCATACGCGCCTTGTCCGAGACTCTATCTCGCGAGAGTAATGAGAACGAGCTTGGTTGCTTCGCGGACGCGAAACGCAGTTAAGTCGAAGATGCTAGATGCGGATAAAAGGGGGCGGAAAACCGGATCGCAAATAAAGTCTCAGACGCCAGATGCGCGTCGCTACTCTTTCCGACGACAACGATGAAAAATTCGCTCCAGATTAGAATCGTCGTCACAGAGGTTTAAAATGTTGCTCGAGAAAATGCGCTGCAGATTATTCCGATGCACGAAGACGCGTCCCTGAGAATTATTCGATGAAATTCTGGCTTCTGACTACACGTCATTCGCGTTAAATATTTGTAATAGCACATATTAACATCCTGAGAGAATATGAAGCAGATATTTTTGTCCGAAATGTGCAATTTAAAAAATTTTAATATAAAATGCTGCTTCATAAAATACCTCGTATCCATAATTTCAGTTCGGGATTGCATTTAATTTTTTTATTTAATTCTAATTTTTAATTTACAAAATTGAAATATTCTTTTCAATTATATCAAGATGTTTGTCAAAACGGATACTTATAAATTGTTTTTCAACAACCACGGAAATGTGTGCAGGGTAAATTTCGCACTGAAAAAAAAATCTGGTTGCATTAATTAAAATTCTGGTAGATTCAACCAGTATGTCTGTTGGAAAATGGACGAACCAGAATTCTTGTAGGAATTACAAGATGAATCTGATTAATTTCTTCCTGTTAAATTTATCAAATTTTCTGGTTATTAATACTAAATTTCCCAGCACCAAGTCGTCTAAAATTTTTTCCATCTAATCTCAAAAGTCTGTTTGATATTTTGAATTCTAACAAGATTATTGGATAAATTTAATTCAGATTATTGAATAAATTATTTTAACTTCAGTTTGTCAGAAATTAACCTGATAAACAGTGATGCAAGAAGAGGATGCAGCTCAAACACACACAATCAGAGAGCTAGCGTCCTCTTTCTGGCACTACTGCTCGTAAGAGAAAAAAAATATACTTTGGATTTAATGTTAATACTAATTCTTTATATACATTTCATGGCAAATATTGAATACGAGTTAAGTTAAAAGGCTTGCCGCTTAGTGGCAAGCAAATAAATTAATGTAACAAGAAATTTTATAGATCCGACCTGAAAATACTAACCAAATTCTTCTCTATAGTAAAATCTATTAAACGTTCTAGTTATAAAAAATCGAGTCTTATCACGATAATTAAAAATTCTTGTTTGATTTAGCCAAAATGCCTTCAATCATATACGTTCTTGTTGGTACAATCAAACGATTTTTCTCAGTGCGGGAAATCGTAAATACGCCTCAGAAATGAACGAAGGGTAATCTTCGTTCCGCGGATCGCTTTCGCAAAACGCGCAACACGATAATTTACATCCGCGGATTAAGGAGCGCGCTCTAAAGCGGGCAATCTCATTAACGCGGTCGCGGAAAGTGACGGCTCGAAATGGCCAAACGCAACGGGGGATCTCTCGGCGAGTTGAAACGAGAAGACGAATAGAGAGAACGCGCGCTCGCCTCGCCG